CAAAGTGCTGGAATTACAGGCATGAGCCACTGTGCCAGGCCAAGAAATAATTTTTTAAAGAGGGTTTTAAAGTGGGGCCGGGTGCAGTGGCTCACACATGTAATCCCAACACTTTTGGAGGCCAAGGCGGGTGGGTCACTTGATGTCAGGAGTTAGACACCAGCCTGACCAACATGGTGAAACCCCATCTCCACTAAAAATATAAAATTAGCTGGGCGTGGTGGCGCACGCCTGTAATCCCAGCTACTTGGGAGGCTGAGGCAGGAGAATCACCTGAACCCGGGAAGGGGAGGTTGCAGGGAGCTAAGATTGCGCCATTGCACTCCAGCCTGGGCAACAAGAGCGAAACAACGTCTCAAAAAAAAAAAAAAAAAAAAAAATGCATTTCGAAGCCAGGTGCAGTGGCTCACACTTATAGTCACGGCTACTTAGGAGGCCGTGGTGGGAGGATAGCTTGAGCCCAGTCATTCAAGGCTGAGTGAGCTGTGATTGTGGCACTGTACTCCAGTCTGGGCGACAGAGTGAGACCCTGTCTGTAAAAAAAAATCTTTCAGGCCGGGGGTGGTGACTCACGCCTGTAATCCCAGCATTTTGGGACGCCGAGGCAGGTGGATCACCTGAGGTTGGGAGTTTGAGACCAGCCTGGCCAACATGGAGAAACCCTGTCTCTACTAAAAATACAAAAATAGCTGGGCATGGTGGTGCATGCCTGTAATCCCAGCTACTCAGGAGGCTGAGGCAGGAGAATTGCTTGAATCCGGGGCGGAGGTTGCAGTGAACCGAGATAGTACCACTGCAATATGAGACTCCATCTCAAAAAAAAAAAAAAAAACAAAAACATAGCAATGGCTGTGGGCCTGGATACAAGTCTTAGCCCCTCCACTTCTCCACTTCCTGGCTCTGTAAGCCTTAGACAAGTTCCTTAACTCCACACTTCCATTTCCATGTAACAAGGGGTCATAGGCCAGGCATTGGTGGCTCATGCCTGTAATCCCAGTGCTTTGGGAGGCTGAGGCGGGAGGATCGCTTCGGGACATGAGCTCAAGACCAGCCCAGGCAGTATAGTAAGGCACTGGCTCTAGAAAAATAAAAATAAAAATAAATCATCCAAGAATGGTGACCCGCCTACTATTCTACTCAGGAGGCTGAGGGGGGAGGATTTCGTGAGCCATGATCACATCACTGTACTTCAGCCTGAGCAACAGCAAGATCCTGTCTCAAAAAATTAAATTAGGCTGGGCTTGGTGGCTCATGCCTGTAATCCCAGCACTTTGGAAAGCCACGGTGGGCAGATTGCTTGAGCCCAGGAGTTTGAGACGAGGTTGGGCAACATGAGGAAACCCTGTCTCTACCAAAAGATACAAAAAATTAACTGGGCATAATAGTGCATGTCTGTGGTCCTAGCTACTCGGTAGGCTGAGGTGGGAGGACTGCTTGAGCCCAGGAAATAGGGGCTACAGTGAACCAGGATCATGCCACTGTACTCCAACCTGGGCAACAGAGCAAGACCCTACCTCAAAATAACTATTTTAAAAAAATGGATTAATCGGGCATAGGTGGCTTGTGCCTGTAGTCCCAGTTACTCAGGAGGCTGAGGTGGGAGGATTGCCTGAGTCTAGGAGGTTGAGGCTGCGGTGAGCCACAATGGCACCATTGCACTCCACCTGGGCAACAGGGTGAGACCCTGTCTCAAAAAAGAAAGGGAGGGTTTATAATCACTCCTCCTGACATGATACAGAGTATCCATTTGAGTTCATAACATAAATACGTACTTGGTGAATGCTCTGTAACTACTGGCTTTTTTTATTGTTCCCATTTTACATATAAGGATGCTGAGGCTTTGTGAGGAGAAATAGCTTAGCCCAGGTCATCCAGTGGGAAGCGGCTGGTGCAGATAAACAGTGATCGTGGTGGGACATTGCCTAGCCTAAGGTTCAGCATACAATATTCAGTCAGTACTCCAGGGCTGAGCTGTTTCTGGTCATCAAAGGGCTGCCTTGTTCTCCTGCCCCACAGCACAGGAAATTCCAAGGTGGTTTTCCTTACAGGCTCCTCCTGCTTCTGTCGCCAGAGGGGACAGCAGAGGAGCCCAGGTACCTAAGCCAACTCAAGAGAAGATGGAATTGAATATCTCAACCACCTTGTCTGGGCCTCTGTGATTGTTGAGGAGGGGGCTGTCACTGGGAAAGCTGTGAGCTGCTTTGGACCTTATCTGGGAATTTCCTTGGGCTTGCAGCCTTTACCCTATCCTTGAAATGGTTCTGGCTGGGTAGCAACTTCTAGGTGGTGTGGGCGAAATTTGGGACTGGTTTAGGGCGGGGATAAGACCAAGAACACAAGTTTCCTTGAGCTATGGGAGAGAGGGAGGGGAGGAAATTGGAGACCTCAGCACCCCTTTGCTCACTCTCTTGCTCACAGTCCACGATGGCCTGGTCCCTGGTGTTCCTCGGTGTCATCGTCTTGCTGTCTGCCTTCTCCGGACCAGGTGTCGGGGGTGGCCCCATGCCCAAGCTAGCTGACCGGAAGCTGTGTGCAGACCAGGAGTGCAGCCGTAAGAGTGGGGAGGGAGAACTGGGGGCTTGGGGTGTTAGCCTGTGTGGAGGGTGTTGCATTCCCTTCTATTCCTTCCCTAGACCCTATCTCCATGGCTGTGGCCCTTCAGGACTACATGGCCCCCGACTGCCGATTCCTGACCATTCACCGGGGCCAAGTGGTGTATGTCTTCTCCAAGCTGAAGGGCCATGGGCGGCTCTTCTGGGGAGGCAGCGTGAGTCTTGGGAGAGTGAAAGAGGGAAGGGTACAGGGCTGGGGTAGACTCATTATCCCCATGAAGAGAAGATTTGAGGGGGATGAACTGAAATAGACATTGTGGGGAGATATTGTTACTTACTTACTTACTTACTTTATTTATTTTTGAGACAGCGTGTCACTCTGTTGCCCTGGCTAGAGTGCGGTGGCGCGATCTCGGCTCACTGCAACCTCCGCCTCGCGGGTTCAAGCAGTTCTCCTGCTTGAGTAGCTGGGACTATAGGCATGCGCCACCACGCCCGGCTAATTTTTGTATTTATAGTAGAGATAGGGTTTCACCATATTGGCCAGGCTGGTCTCGAACTCCTGACCTCATGATCCGCCCACCTCAGCCTCCCAAAGTGCTGGGATTACAGGCGTGAGCCACTGCGCCCGGCCCTTATTTATTTATTTTTAATTTTTTCGAAGATAGAGACTTGCTCTGTCACTCAGGCCGGAATGCAATGGTGCGATCTCGGCTCACTGTAACCTCCACCTCTTGGGTTCAAGCGATTCTCCTGCCTCAGCCTCCCGAGTACCTGGGATTACAGGCATGCACCACCACACCTGGCTAATTTTTGTATTTTTAGTAGAGACAGGGTTTCACCATACTGGCCAGGTTGGTCTTGAACTCTTGACCTCATGATCTGCCCACCTTGGCCTCCCAGAGTGCTGGGATTCTAGGTGTGAGCCACTGCCCCCCCAGCCTATTTTCACTTTATTTACCAATTTTAGGGCACCTGCTATGGTCCCACATTCTGTTCTAGACACCAAGATACAACAACAAATGATCCTTTTTATTCTAATGGAGGGAAATGAGCAAAAAGCAAGTCATAAAAAATAGCAGCTGGACACGGTAGTTCACACCTGTAATCCCAAGTAAGGCCAAGTTGGGAAGATAGCTTGAGCCCAGGAGTTCGAGACCAGCCTGGGCAACACAGCAAGACCCCCCCATCTCTACAAAAAAAAAAAATTAAAAATTAACTGGGCATCATGGCGTGTATCTGTGGTCCCGGCTACTCGGGAGGCTGAGGTGGGAGGATTGCTTGAGCCCAGAAGTTGAGGCTGCAGTGAGCTGTGATCATGCTACTGCACCCCAACCTGGGCGACACAGTGAGACCCTGTCTCCAAAATAATAATAATAATAAAAGCAAATATGCGCTGCTGTGAGAGTTAACAGAGACCGACTTGGGTGGTCAGAAAAGGCTTCTGAACAGGTGACATTTAAGCTGAGATTCGTATGACAAGGATGGAGCCAGTTGTGTGGAGATCAGGGACAAGGGAGGATGCAAAGGCCTTCAGCAGGCATAAGCTTGCCATCTTTCCAGACCCTAGCTTTTAACTCCTCTTCCCTAGGTTCAGGGAGATTACTATGGAGATCTGGCCGCTCGCCTGGGCTATTTCCCCAGTAGCATTGTCCGGGAGGACCAGACCCTGAAACCTGGCAAATACGATGTGAAGACAGACGTGAGTGTCATGGGGGCTGGCAAAAAATCTGGGGGGAGGACCCTTAGGTTGTGGGGATGGGCAAACATGCTCCCACCCTTGGCTCCCTAGGTGTGTGCGCTGGGAGAAATTCTTTCCCTGCCTCAATTTTCTCACCAGTAAAATGGGTCCAGTTGGGAGGTGCAAAGATTAGAGGGCTCTAGGCTAATTTGCGTAGCACTTGTGTGGCCAGACCTGGGCCCTGCAGCTGCAGCCTTTGCTAAAACCACTAGATCCTTTGTGGTGTGACCGCTGGTTTTCTCTTCACTGTTTCCCCTTTCTCTTTTTCAGAAATGGGATTTCTACTGCCAGTGAGCTCAGCCTACCGCTGGCCCTGCCGTTTCCCCTCCTTGGCTTTATGCAAATACAGTCAGCCCAGTGCAAACGACCTGTCTATGTGGTCTTTGGGGTGGGGTCGGGTGGGGTGGGGACTATACAAATGAAATGTTTCTCTGGGTTCCTGAATCTAACCAATTAACCCGCTGCATATGGTAACGTCAGTGGTTGCTAGGCCGTGTTTCACTGATGAAAGCCCTGTGCGGTAGGAGGGCTCCTAAGCTTAGGTTTCGGACACAAGCAAAGGAAAACCTAAGCAGTCCAACTAGGGGGTTGTAGTGTCCTCTCTAGACCAGTGGGAGGGAGCCAGTGGGACTACGCGGAGAATATAAATCGCACAGCAAAGGTTTTCTTGGAAGATTATCTGCAAAGGGAGGCGGGAAGTAACCTGCGCCTATCTTCCGAGTTTTCCTTCTTTTTGCCTTTGAGACCAGTAATCGCTCCCGCCAGCTCAAGATCAGCTCCTCTTCTAGCCTCTTTCTGTCAATCCTGCCCGTGCTCCCTTCTTTGCATTCGTATCCCCTCCCCCAAGTCCGCTCCAATCCAATCCGGAGACTCGACTCTGCCCCCGGACTCCAGACTAAATCCGTTCCTCGGCTCGGCAAAGCAGCTCTGCACGTCCCTTCTCACTTGCTCAGCCAATCGCTGGCCTCGGCCCCTCCCCTTTGGGCTTGGCCCCTCTCATGCCACCAATCCGCGCCTTTTGTCCCGCCCCCTGCCCGCGAGTCCGCCAATCCCGCCCTTCGGAAAGCGTGGTCTGGTATCCAGCTGCTGGAGCGGGTCGCGCTGGAGGGGGGCGGAGGCGGAAGTGGCGGTGCCGGGCCCGGGGAGTAGGAAGAAGCCGGGGCTGTAGCCGGAGTGGAGCGGCTGCCAGCCGAGGAGCAGGCGCGGCCGCGGCGCCATATTGCGGCCCTCAGCGGCCGCGACCGAGTCATGGCCGAGACCTACGGTGAGGGTGGTGGGCCGAAGCCGGGGTCCTGGGTCTGGGCCCAGGGAGGATGCGGCCTGTGGGAATGGGCGGGGCTTTGTAGATCAGGGGGCGGGGTCTGGTGTTATGGAGGCAGGGCCTAAGTGGATGCTGGGAGGGGTTTAGTGGGTCTGAGGCTGAGCTTAATTGATTTAGGTGGAGCCTGAGGGTCTGGTGAGTGGGTTAAATAGATCTGGGGCGGGATTTGAGGGAGCTGGTCCTTAGGGGTTCAGGGAGGCCCTGAGGGAAGAGGTGGGCCTTAATGGATCTGGGCGGAGCCTGAGTGAAGGGGCGGGGCTGACTGCCTGAATGGCAGGAGTCGGGCTTATGGGCTAGAGGGAACATGGATGGAAGCTCGGGACCCTGGGGCTGATCTGGCTGGAGTGAGCTCTGGAATGGGTTTGGGTATGGGCTGTCCTTGAGTTAGGGGCAGGACTTAGTGGCAAGGGGTGGGGCTTATGCGTGAGAATGGAGCCAGGGTCTGGGCAGTGGGAGGGAAGGAGAGGTGGGGAAGTGGAAAATCAGTAGGGATGCAGCACAGGAGGTGGTGATTGGAGGCGGGGGAAGCGCAGGTTTAGGAGTCAGAGGGAGCCGCATTCGTTCAACAAATACGGAAGAGAAGAGTGCAAAGACCCTGAGGTGAGAACCAGCTTGTCGTTTTCAGGGAATAGACTGAAGGTCAGGAGCTATAGTGGAGTGAATGAGTCAGAGGGTGGTAGGAGGTGAAGAGGAACAAGGGCTAGATGGTAGTCCTTGTTTAAATAGCTTTCAAGAGACTTTAGCGATGGACTCTGGAGCCCTTGGCCTAAGTTTGAATCTCACTTCTGCCTAGCTCTGTCACTTGGGGTAAGTCAGTTAACCTCTCTGGCCTGTTTCCTCATCTGGAAAATGGGAATAATTTTTAGGCTACCTCCCTCATAGAGTTTTCCTGAGGATGATGTGAGCTGTTGATGTGAGTAAAGACCTTTAGAGCTGTTCCTGGCCCACAGTAACAAACCTGCACGTGTGGGCTGGGCACGGTGGCTCATGCCTGTAATCTCAGCACTTTGGGAGGCCAAGGCGGGCGGATCACCTAAGGTCGGGAGTTTGAGACCAGCCTGACCAACATGGAGAAACCTCGTCTCTACTAACAATACAAAATTAGCTGAGCGTGGTGGCGCATGCTTGTAGTCCCAGCTGCTCGGGAGGCTGAGGCAGGAGAATTGCTTGAACCTGGGAGGTGGAGGTTGCAGTGAGCCAAGATTGCGCCATTGCACTCCAGCCTGGGCAACAAAGAGTGAAACTCTTGTCTGGAAAAAACAAAAACAAGGACAAAAAAAACCTGCAAATGTATCCCCTGAACCTAAAATAAAAGTTGAAAAAAATATATAGAATGTGCCTGGCACATGGCAAGTACTACGTAAGAGTTATCTGTTACTGTTACCTATTGGTTTGTTTCTGCCTATGTCTGTTTCTCTCCCTCTAACTGTGATGGTTAGAGAGACAGATTGGATTGGAATCCATCTTTTTCCCTGTATCTTTCTCTCCCTGTGGGTATCCCTGATTTTGGCTCCATCTGGTCAGACTTCCTCTTCAAATTCCTGGTGATTGGCAGTGCAGGAACTGGCAAATCATGTCTCCTTCATCAGTTCATTGAGAATAAGTGTGAGTTTCCCGCAGTGGTCCTGGGAACCCTGAGCTGTGGTTATGGGCATGGTGTGGGCTGGTGGGCAGCTGGTGGGGAGGGCAGGGCTGGCCATAGGTACAAGTCCAGTCCTGGCTTTTTGGTCCTTGCTTTGTCCTATGTCCTTTACTAGGTTCTCCTTGACCTCAGTCACTCCAGCAATGAGAATGGGTTTGTAGAGACTGAGAAGGCCTTGGAGGATGGGGGATCCTCTGAGCTGCCTCCTCTCTCCCTGCACTGCCCCTTCTGTTCCTCCCACTCCCAGTCAAACAGGACTCCAACCACACGATCGGCGTGGAGTTTGGATCCCGGGTGGTCAACGTGGGTGGGAAGACTGTGAAGCTACAGATTTGGGACACGGCTGGCCAGGAGCGGTTTCGGTAGGTGGGCTGGGCTCCCAAGGGTGATGAGGAGAGAGAGAGAGAGAAGGAAAGAGAGAGACAGACGTGTGTGTAGAGTCTCTTGGAGACACTGAGAGGGCAGACAAGGCAGAGAGAGAGAGAAGAGACACCGTAGTTAGCAGGTATATATATCCAAGGAGAGAGGGAATACTGGAGAGAGAAAGAGATGGCGGAGAAAAAGAGGTAGGGGCCAGGTGCAGTGGCTCATGCCAGTAATCCCCGTGCTTTGGGAGGCCAAGGTGGGAAGATTGCCTGAGCCCAGGAGTTCAAGACCAGCCTAGGCAACATAGCGAGACCCCATCTCAAACAAAGAAAAAGAGAGAGAGAAAGTGGCTTGGGGAGGGGGTGAGGGATAGAGACTGAGAGACACTGAAACAGAAAGAGAAGGGGAAACTTGAGAGACACACACCCAGAAAGGAAAAGAGCAAGAGAGACAAAGACTAAGAGAGTTGAAGAGAATGATAAGGGAGGTAAGGAGGCCTGGCACAGTGGCTCACACCTATAATCCCAGCACTTCTGGAGGCTGAGGTGGGTGGACCACTTGAGGTCAGGAGTTCAAGACCAGCCTACCACCACGGTGAAACCCTGTCTCTACTAAAAATATAAAAAAAAATTAGCTAGGGTGTGGTGGTGGATGCCAGTTACTCGGGAGGTTGAGGCAGGAGAATTGCTTGAACCTGGGAGGCACAGGTTGCAGTGAGTCAAGATTGCCCCAGTTCTCCCCAGCTGGCGTGACACAGTGAGACTCTGTCTTAAAAATAAATAAATAGGGCGAGGTGGCGGGCGCCTGTAGTCCCAGCTACTCAGGAGGCTGAGGCAGGAGAATGGCGTCAACCCGGGAGGCGGAGCTTGCAGTGAGCTGAGATCCGGCCACTGCACTCCAGCCTGGGCCACAGAGCAAGACTCCGTCTCAAAAATAAATAAATAAATAAATAAATAAATAAATAAATAAATAAATAAGGGAGGTGAGGAGACACAGAGAAACAGAGGTCAGAGGCAGAGAGGGAGACAGGGCAAGTCGGACAGGTGTAGTTGGACATTGAATGAATGAATGCATAGATTTATGGAAAGGCAAGGGTGAGCATGAGAGCCACAGAGATGGAACAGAAAGAGAGACAGTGAGAAATAGGGAACTGAAGACAACACACAGGCCAAGGCAGGAGAACCGCTTGAGTCCAGGAGTTTGAGAGCAGCCCGGGCAACATTGTGAAATCCCATCTTTCCAAAAGAGAAATGGAGAAATGGACGTGTTGTGGGAGAGGGAGAGGGAAATGCATAGGGCTCAACACATGGTAGGTCTTCAGGAAATGACGGCAGAAAAGTGGATCGACACATAGAAACCTTAGGCAAGTCTGAGAAACAGAGACAGAGAGCAGGGAGAGAAATAGAGGGAATTCAGTCCGTGGAAAAGTGTGATCTGTGGCAGCACTTAGTAGCTGCTGAGTTAATACTCGTGTATGGATTCACTGCCTGAGGTGCACAGAGCCCAGAGGCAGAGAGAGGGGCTGAAGGATAGACAGGTGTGTGGCATGGGCTAGGTTTACGGTGAGTGCTCAGTAAATGCTTGTGGAATGATTGCATGAGTTCCAGAAGGACCCAGACTGGTGAGACTGAGAATGCAGAGTTGGCTACACTGGGAAGGAGCCTCCACCTGACACAGCAGGACAATGATAAGCAGATGTTGCATAGCGCTTGGGCAGGGCCAGGCAAAGGGCAGATTTGCTCAGAAAATGTTAAATGAATAAATGCACAAATGCATGGGAAGGCAAAAGTAAGCATGAGAGAGCCAGAGAGATGAAACAAACAAAAAAGACAGGGAGAAATAGGAAATTAAATAGGGCCAGCCACGGTGGCTCACACCTGTAATCCCTGCACTTTGGGAGGCCTAGGCGGGTGGATCACTTGAGGTCAGGAGTTCAATACCACACTGGCCAGCATGGCGAAACCCCATCTCTACTAAAAATGCAAAAATTAACTGGACGTGGCAGTGCATGCCTATAATCCCAGCTACTTGGGAGGCTAAGGCAGGAGAATCACTTGAATCCGGGGGGCAGAGGTTGCAGTGAGCCGAGATCACGCCATTGCACTTCAGCCTGGGTGAAAGAGCAAAACTCCATCTCAATCAATCAATCAATCAATAAAAGACACGTAGGGCTGGGCACAGTGGCTCACGCCTGTAATCCTAGCACTTTGGGAGGCCAAGGTGGACGGATCACTTGAGGTCAGGAGTTTGAGATCAGACTGGCCAACATGGCAAAATCCCATCTCTACGAAAAATACAAAAATTAGCCGATGTGGTGGCATGCATCCGTAATCCTGGCTACTCAAGAGGCTGAGGTGGGAGAATCGCTTGAACCCAGGAAGTGGCGGTTGCAGTGGTTGCAGTGAGCCGAGATCATGGCGCACTGCAGCCTGGGAGACAGAGTGAGACTCTTACTAAAAAAAAAAAAAAAAAAAAAGGCCCATAGGTTAAGGCAGGAGAATCACTTGAGCCCAGGAGTTGGAGACCAGCCTGGGCAACCTAGCAAAGCCCCATCTTTACAAAAAATATTAAGAAATTAGCCGGCCGGGCGCGGTGGCTCAAGCCTGTAATCCCAGCACTTTGGGAGGCCGAGATGGGCGGATCACAAGGTCAGGAGATCGAGACCATCCTGGCTAACACGGTGAAACCCCGTCTCTACTAAAAACACAAAAAACTAGCCGGGCGAAGTGGCGGGCGCCTGTAGTCCCAGCTACTCGGGAGGCTGAGGCAGGAGAATGGCGTAAACCCGGGAGGCGGAGCTTGCAGTGAGCTGAGATCCGGCCACTGCACTCCAGCCCGGGCGACAGAGCAAGATTCCGTCTCAAAAAAAAAAAAAAAAAAAAAAAAAGAAATTAGCCAGG